GTCAAAAAAATTAGTTTTTTATCAACTTTTCAAAACACTCCTTTATTTTGGTTGTTGTTATTGTGGTTGGATTTTCTCCAACTGTGTGTGGTACTAGTAGATTGGGCTTGCTAGTTGGTGTCAACTTAATTGGAATTGGCTACTATAGCTTTGATGTTTTTTACACCCTCTATCTTTATTGATTTAGGTATTATAATTGTATTGCTTGATTAGCATTAATAAAGATTTATTTGGCCGTTTCAAAAAATAAAGAGAGATTGATCAATAAGTCTCATATTTTGGACTTGTAATTCATACAGTCCCATATTTTTTCTTGTGATCTATTTAGTCATTTTAGATGTGTAATGACTCATTTGTCCACTATATTAGAGTGTCACATTTGGAAAAATACATTAACGAGTTTTATAGTGTAACATCATACCCGTCACGTTAGAATATCACATTTGAGAAAAATATACGAAAGAGTTTTAAATTTTTTTAGAATGTCACATCATACCTGTCACGTTGGAATGTCGCATGTCACATTTGGAAAAAGTACACTAAGGAGTTTTTAATTTTTTTAAAGTGTTACATCATACTCCTCATGTTGGAGTGTCACATGTCATGTTTGAGAAGAGTACACTAAGGAGTTTTTAATTTTTTTTAGAGTGTCACATCATACCCGCTACATTGTCACATATGAAAAAAGTACATTAAGGAGCTTTTATTTTATTTTTTTTGAAATATCACATTATACTTGCCGCGTTATCACATTTAAAAAAAGTACACTAAAGAGTTTTTATTTTTTTTGGAGTAAAAGTTTTGGAGTGTCACGTCATATCCGTCACGTTGTCACATTTAAGAAAAGTACACTAAGAAATTTATAATTTTTTTAGAATGTCATATCGTTGAAGTGTCATATTAATGCCTACTACATTGGAATATCACATCATACATGTCACATTAATAAAAGGGTATAGTTGTCCACCAAAATACTACCAAAATTAAAAATAGGACCACACGGAAAGAAACTCTTCACTAATAGGACTTAACAGATCAATAGAAAAAAACTTGAGACTAATTTGAGTACTTATTTATGAGATGGGATTTATTGATAAATATCTCAAAAATAAAAAAAAATTAATTAATAATACTTAAAATTAGAACAAAAATAAAGCATTTTATGATTGACTATAGGCCTCGTTTGTCGATAAGCAATTTTAGTTTAAAAATTATTATAAATTATAATTTTATTCTCTCTATTTTTTTTACACATATTTTATTTTAAAAAATTAAAAAAATTGATTAAAATAGCTAATTTCCAAACAGACCTTTAAGTTTTAAAACTTCATATATAATTTTATAAGTGCAAGCTTGACTTAAATGACTTGATCATTACCTTTTTACATGATAAAATAATTTTTCTAATTAATTATCTTATTAATCTAATTTTCTATAAGCCTTTACGTCTTAAACCATCATTTTTTCTCTTCCTTTTTAAGAGTGGTTGATCATATTTTGTTCTTGTAATTTATATAATCTCATATTTTTCTTGTAATTTATTTAATCCTTTTAGATATATAATGACTCATTTATCAGCTATATTGGTGTGTTACATTAAAGTGTTACATTTGAGAAAGATACACTAAGAATTTTTTTAATATGCCATGTTTTTGAAGTGTTATATTAGAGTGTACACTAAGAAGTCTTTAAGTTTTTTCTTGTGATCTATTTAGTCATTTTAGATGTGTAATGACTCATTTGTCCACTATATTAGAGTGTCACATTTGGAAAAATACATTAAAGAGTTTTATAGTATAACATCATACCCGTCACGTTAGAATATCACATTTGAGAAAAGTATACGAAAGAGTTTTAAATTTTTTTAGAATGTCACATCATACCTGTCACGTTGGAATGTCACATGTCACATTTGGAAAAAGTACACTAAGGAGTTTTTAATTTTTTTAAAGTGTTACATCATACTCCCCATGTTGGAGTGTCACATGTCATGTTTGAGAAGAGTACACTAAGGAGTTTTTAATTTTTTTTAGAGTGTCACATCATACCCGCCACATTATCACGTATGAAAAAAGTACATTAAGGAGCTTTTATTTTATTTTTTTTGAAATATCACATTATACTTGCCGCGTTATCACATTTAAAAAAGTACACTAAAGAGTTTTTATTTTTTTTGGAATAAAAGTTTTGGAGTGTCACGTCATATCCGTCACGTTGTCACATTTAAGAAAAGTACACTAAGAAATTTTTAATTTTTTTAGAATGTCACATCGTTGAAGTGTCATATTAATGCCTATTACATTGGAATATCACATCATACGTGTCACATTAATAAAAGGGTATAGTTGTCCACCAAAATACTACCAAAATTAAAAATAGGACCACACGGAAAGAAACTCTTCACTAATAGGACTTAACAGATCAATAGAAAAAAACTTGAGACTAATTTGAGTACTTATTTATGAGATGGGATTTATTGATAAATATCTCAAAAATAAAAAAAAATTAATTAATAATACTTAAAATTAGAACAAAAATAAAGCATTTTATGGTTGACTATAGGCCTCGTTTGTCGATAAGCAATTTTAGTTTAAAAATTATTATAAATTATAATTTTATTCTCTCTATTTTTTTACACATATTTTTATTTAAAAAAATTTAAAAAATTTATTAAAATAGCTAATTTCCAAACAGACCTTAAAGTTTTAAAACTTCATATATAATTTTATAAGTGCAATTCAACATAATTATTACTCAGCTTGACTTAAATGACTTGATCATTAACTTTTTACATGATAAAATAATTTTTCTAATTAATTATCTTATTAATCTAATTTTCTATAAGCCTTTACGTCTTAAACCATCATTTTTTCTCTTCCTTTTTAAGAGTGGTTGATCATATTTTGTTCTTGTAATTTATATAATCTCATATTTTTCTTGTAATTTATTTAATCCTTTTAGATATATAATGACTCATTTATCAGCTATATTGGTGTGTTACATTAAAGTGTTACATTTGAGAAAGATACACTAAGAATTTTTTTAATATGCCATGTTTTTGAAGTGTTATATTAGAGTGTACACTAAGAAGTCTTTAAGTGTTGAAGTATTATATTTGAAAAAAAGTACATTAAGGAGTTTTTTAGTGTGTCATGTTATGTTACATTTAGGAAAAGTACACTAAGAAATTTTTTAGTATGTTATTTTGGAGGAATTTTTTAGTATTGGAGTATTACATTTGGGAAAAAAATATAGTAACGAGTTTTTTAGTGTATTACACTAAAGAAGTGTTACATTTAAGAAAAGTACACTAAGGAGTTTTTAAGTATTGGAATGTCACATTTGGAAAAAGTACACTAAGATGGTGTTTGGGGAAAGAATTGGGTTAAAATAACCCACTAAAAGACAAAATAGACTAAAATTAGACAAAATGTCACATCCAACCTATAATCATTTCACTTTTTCTTTCACAATCATCAAATCAACTACCAAAAAAAAAAAAAAAAAAAATCAACTTTTCAAATACAACTATTTTAGTCTAAAATAGTCAAAAGATCAAATAGCCAATTAAAATAACCAAACTTCCCAAACAAGGCCTAAGGAGTTTTTTAATATGTTACGTTGGCAAAGTGTTTCATTTGGGAAAAATATGTTAGTGTTGGAGTGTTACACTTGAGAAAGTATATTATGAAATTTTTTAATATATTACGTTAGAGTATTACATTTGAAGAAAAAGTATGTATTTGGTTATTATATTGATATTTTCAAACTTATGCTCTTATTTTATATTACTTTTATTATGAAATGGATATGAGTTAAAAAGAATTGTATATTATTGTTCAAAAATCAACGCGTTTACAACTTCCAACTTGTATGCTTACCAAGAATTTTTTTGAAGTGTTACATTGAAGTGACGAAAATGTGATCTAATAATTGAATCTAACTTTACTAAGATGGTTTTCCCCAATAAAGAAAGGTAAAAACGTTCACCAAATCATACCCAAAATTAAAATAAGATCTCACGATAAAATTGTCATAACAAACAAGACCTATTAGTGTATTAGAAAATTCATGAGACTAATTAGAATAACTGAACATTAGCTAAAATAAATTTGTATTTAAAAAATAATAATAATAATCAGTTTGTTTGGTTCCAGTTTTCAAAAAATAATTTTCAGAAAATCCTACTTTTTATTTTTCTTATTTTAATGTTTTCAATGAATTTTTTTTAATATTTTAAGTAATTTTTTTAAATTTTTAGATACATCTAACATAAATACACTTAAAAAGTATAATATTTGTAAAAAAAAATTTAAATACACTAAGTATCAGCCAAAAAAAATGAACATTCAATATATTTTTTCGTATTTTTTGTATATTTATTAATTTTTTAAAATATTTTTTTATAAATATTTTACTATGTAGATACATTTAAGTAAAATGCATCTTAAAAAGGAAAAATATTACTTAAAATTTAAAAAATATTTACTGAAAACAAAAAAAAACACAAAAAATAAAAATTTAATTTTTAAAAAATAAATTCAGAAAATTTAAACCAAACCCGCCGAATAATACCCAACCCTTCAGCTTTGAGATTGCTGACCCGGTTGCGGAGAAAATCCGGAATCTGAGTTCTCTGGCATCCATGTAATCCCCCCAATCAATATCCCCTCCTTTTATTTTCTCTTTGTATTTTTTACTTCTAAGGTCATTAACCTCATTTTTAGACTCAATTTTGATAGTCAAAATCATTCCTATTTTAAAATTTGTTCAATATATCATATTTATAAAAAATTAAATTGATCGGATATCAGAAAATATGTGTTCTGAAAACTCAAACTAAAATTTATTTTTTTTAAGAATTTAATAAATAGTTTTCTGAACATATGCTTTTTAATATCCAATCAATTTAATTTTTTACAAGTATGATATATTAAACAAATTTTAAGATACGAACGATTCAGATTATAAAAATTAAACTTAAAAATGGATCCAATGGCGTTGCAAGTAAGAAATATAAGGAGGAATCCTGATTCGTAATCCCCCACGGCAACCGTTGCACGTGTCATCTTCTCCACGATGGCGACACCAGAGTTGGGAGGATTGGACACTTCGCTGGTTCAATTCATCAGCGATCACCAACACAACTCTCTCAGACTCCGCGACCAGACTGGTTCATCTCTTTCACCACATATACGCATTTCGATTTCATTCATATTCTCTCTAAGCTAGGGTTTCGTATTCGTGAAGTGACCTCCCTACTTGATGATTCTCTATGTTTGTGATTTTGTGAACAAACAGAGAGAGCGAAGAAAGATGCGATTAGAAGCGCGATCCGTGTTTCGGATCTGTTGGTGGATGCTGCCAACGGTGGCGTCCAAGAATCGTTCGTAAACGAGAAGCGGATCGAGCTCGAAACTCGCGCATTGGCTGCCACCGTCATGAGATTCGTCAAGCAGACCGATCGGTGGCTTGCGGCTTCTCATGCCATCAACACTGCTATCAAGGTCCCTCCAATATCATCACCACCACTTTTTACCAATTATATAACAAGGTTTTGTTAGATTAAAACTGGAATTGGACTTAGTTTCACCTAGAGAAAATTCTTGAATGATTAGAGCCATGTGCTTTTCAATCATAGATTGAAGAATGGTCATTATCATTTGCTTTGTTTTATGGCCACTTCTGGTAGTCTGCAATGCTTGAGGTAGTTTAAGCACGCTCTGTTTTGTTCACTAAAATGAAATAAAATGAAATGAAATTATTATTCTATTATAACGTATATTCTCACATTTGATTCACTACAAAAAATAGATAAAATAGGTATTACAAATAGAATCATCAATCATTATTACGCAATGATAATATCCTTTTCATGAGGAGGCCAAGAACTAATCATTCCATTCCAATCCACATTCATTCTGTGTACTAAACTGTACTAAGCACTACCAAGTATGACTCGGCCTGTTCTTTTTGTTGTGGGCTTAGCGAAAGTTCTTGATATTGCTAGATTGGTCTCCACCAGAGACGGAACTGTATATAGATCTACACCCATTATAAGAAATATATGAAATATAGGAGAATGTTATATGTAAACCCATTACAAGAAATATACGAATTTTTGTTTTATTTATGAAAGTTTAAAATGTTTAGTCTTATTGCGTGTAGTAAAAGTTACTAGTAGTCAATTTATGGTGTGCATCTATAAAGTGAAAGTGAAAGTAAAAGTTATGAATCATTGTAGTTATGTTATGAACGATATAGTGTAAATCTTACAAATCATTTGTGACGCAAAATGTTACAAACTATTTCGGTGAAAGAAGTTGCAATTTGTTATGGTTATGCTATATATACTGTGATAATGTATATACGATATGCACCTTTTAAAGAATGCACACCATAATAACTCTCTAACATATTGGCGCTGTTTGGGAAGCCATAAATGGGGCTAAAATAGCCTCATTTGAGAAAAAAGCCAAAAAGTAACACTGTTGAAAGTTTTTTCAAAAAAATATATATATATATATATAGGCTGCACAGCCGGTGCCTACACTGTCAACCTACACTGCACAGCCGGCAAAGGCTAAATTACGATTTTACCCCTTGAAATCAATTTAAAAAAATATATTTTTAGGGACAAATTTGTCATTTTAAATTTAAACATCATTTCAACACACTTTCCAACACAACAACTCAACTAAAAATTCATCTTATCTTCCCAAACACAAAACTAAAATAGCCTACTAAAATAGTCAAAAAGCCAAATAGCCTACTAAAATAGTCACTTCCTAAACGAAGCCATTATGTTCTAAAATATATTTTTAATTATATAATTCAATTTGTAAATGAAATTAAGTTAACAATTTTTGACTCTCATTAGCCCAATCATTATTTCTCAATACTGCAATGTAAAAACTCTCATTAATTAGTAATGCTATCATGTAATATTACTCTTACATTAAATATTTAACAAAAATAAAAGTGTATCCATTTTCAATTAATAGCATGAAAAATCACGATTGTTAATTGCATAAAAATTCATTGCTTTAAATCTAACCCCAATTAATAGCATGAAAAATCACGATTGTTAATTGCATAAAAATTCATTGCTTTAAATCTAACCCCACTTATCTTTTCTTTTTTCTTTTTTTTTTTCTTTTTTTTTTGCCCACCCAATGATTAAATACTCAGTCCGTCCCTGGTCTCCACTCTATACAATATTATTGGTTTTGGGCTAAGCCCACAAGGCTTTAAAACGCATATAAGTTACTCAACACATCCGTCACTAGCCGATGTGAGATTTGGCACTGTGGTCCAACAGACTATTCCAACACTTTTGATATGGAAATGAATTTTTGTTTTTCTTAGCACTTGTTTGACATGAGTGCACGGTAGGATTGAAATTATTGAGCTCATTTCCATAAGTTTTGTGGCTTTGAAGGCACTGCTATCATGAAAATACATCCTTGAAGGCAATGGTGAACACAATGGGCTTATTCCTTCATAATGCATGAAAATGAACATGATGTCTAAAATCCTAATTTGTAATGCATGAAAATCAGTATCAGTCTGGAATTGTTTGTTTGTAGCTATAAGAATCTTCATATATTGATGACTAGGTGTGTTATGAAGCTTGTGATAAGCTCCTTATTCCTTACTTTTTATATGGGTGTGTGCATGAACCAGAACCTGGAAAGTTTTGTAAGTTTTTTCCATGCACTTTTTTTTTTTTTTTTTTTTTTTTTGGATGTCCTCCTTGAGTAAAACAAATCAGTCAGCAGAGTTTTGAAAGGGATTTGTTCTTATAGATTACTGAAATTTGGTGTGGATTTTGCTTGCACAGGAAATTGGAGATTTTGAGAACTGGATGAGGACCATGGAATTCGATTGCAAAAGCGTTAGTGCTGCAATATACAACATTCACCAAGCATAATCTTACAGGGACAAAGTCTCAAAGTCATTCATCGTGTTTATATTCCTTAGAATTATGGTGATGAGCTCTGGGATGGGGATTGGAGCAGAGATTTAGACAGCTGCAGGACAGTTGGTTTTTTGTTTTGTTTTCGACTCTTTTCGAAAGTGTTGCCCATTTTTTTTGTTTTGGGTAGTTCCTTGCTTCAACTTGTGGGGCTGCTGTTAGAAATTTTAATAAAAATAAAATATTGATTATTTGTTTGGATGAATTACTTCCATTTATATTTTAATGTCATTGGCTAGAGCTTATCACAAGCACCAAACATGACGTGAATGGCAGGCACATCCAAACCTTGCACTTCTTTTGTTTGTCTTTCTCTCTCTTTCTTTCTTTTCTTTAAGAAGGTTCTTAAACATTAGAACCATAATTCAAAATTTTCCCAAGTAGAACCTCATCTCATAGCTAGTCAACGGTTTCTCCAGAACTAATAATAATATATGTAATGTTCACAAAAGAGATGAAAATGTTCAAAGCAAAATAATTAGAAGTGGGTAGTCAGCAACTTAACCAATTAAATTCATCAAAACATACTTTGATACCGATATAAAACAACTCTAGTTTTTAAATTGTTATCTTCTTCAGAAAGATTTTGACTACTTAAATATATATATATATATATATAAAAGAAAATCTTTTGTGCTGTCTTAATTTAAAGAGATTCCGTTAGACATGTGAAAATCATCATCAACGCGGTCATCATCATCTTTTATAAGATAAGAACCGACAATGGCGCATGGCAATGCAAGACATTTTGGCCAAAAATGTTTTATATTGTTTGATTAATTAGCATACATTGAATTAGTGATATTAGATGGTAGTAGTTGGACAAATTAGAAGTTTAATATTGGGTTGCCAATGCACGTCTACTAAATTAATATTATAAATCACCATTCAACTCCAATATTTAATGTTTTTATATGATTACTTTTTTGTATACAAACGCTTGTTTTTTAGCAGAAATCTAATTGTTTTAAAAAAAATTGTCTTTTGGGTAATATGTTTGTATAACTATCTTCTAGATAATGTGTTTGTATAATGGAAATTGAATTGGTGTAACGTGAAATTCAAATATGAATGAATCTAAGTTACGGATTCTAAGTAAAATTAGAAATAAATTTTTTTGAATTTATAGTATACTTTTCGTGTTTGAACCAATGTATGCATCAGTTTTGCTATATAGACAAAATTGAAATGTATGGACAAAATTGATTTTGAGTAATTCTTTTGGGTATACAGCAAAACTCTATGTGCAAATGTATGTGCCTTGTATCTGCATCGATAAACAACATTATGGAATGAGATGAGCCACTTTTGGGTGTTTGAGCTCAATTTGCTAAGAATTAGTTGAGCTTTAAAAAATTAAACTCGAGCTTAGCTTGTCAAGTATTTTAGGCCCCGTTTATTTTGGAGTGTAGAGGGTGGGATGAGATTAGGATGGAGGTGGGACCCATTTAGTGTTGTGTTTATTTGTATAGTTGGAGAAGTGATTAGGATATAGGAGGTGGAGGTGGTATTAGAAAAATAGTGAGGGGACTAGAATTTTTTTATTTTTTACATGTTGGGCATTTTTTTTTTTTTGAACATTAATGTTTAATTTTTTGTATTTTTTGTATTTTTTTTATTATTTTATATAAAAATAATTTAACAATTTCTACACTAACAACTATCATCAAAACAAATACAATTTTACTTAATCTCTCACTATTAATCCCCTCACTATCAATCCATCACTGTTAATTCCCTCATTATCAATCCCTCTATTCTACCTTTGAAAACAAGCAGGACTTTAGAAATATGGGTGGGATGAATTTACTAATAGATGTCTGTTGGCATTCTAGTTTTCCTATTCAAACTTGCTTCGAGTCAACTCAATTACATAAACAAGGGTTTTAGCTGAAAATTAAAATAAAATAAAATATTTCTCAAATTTAGATTTATATTAAAAGAAAAAAGAGAAAATCATAAATAAAATATAAAAGGGATCATTTCAGAAAAAGTGGAGTGAGATTTTTTTTCCAACTAATGAAGGTACAATATTTATTTGCATAATTGAATGCATAAATCACTTGTACCTTCATCATTTTGTAATTATTTTTTCACTATCTACTTTTTTTATATTCTTCCAACATAAAAAATGTTTATCTTTGATATATTATTAAAAATAAATATTAATTCATTTTCTTTGTATTCCCGTGTCTTATCGAAACGAGTTTGAAAACAAGCTTAAAAATTGAACTCAAACTCATGTATTTAGCTAACCTCAAGTTATTCAGCCCTAATCTCATCAAAGAAGCAACTCACTATCAATCGGTCTAGATAACATTTTTCAGAAACACTATACATGTAAATTACTCTTTTCCTTGAAGTTGCGTCTTTGGTAGTCAACAACTGAGTGAATCTCAATTAGGGGAAAAATGAACTCAGGGTGATACTAAGTTGGTGGCTACCAAGCCAACATTAGTGTCAAATGTGAATAATTAAATTTGAAGCAAAATATTTTTTTTTTTTTTTTTTATCAGCGAAGAAAATGAAGCTTTATTGATGAAAAACAAGAAAGGAAAACAACAAAAAGAAGAAGGAGAGGGGGAAGGGAAAGGGGAAAGATGGTGAGTTGGTGAGAAACCAACCACAATCACCAAACCCAAACCACAAAACAGCCGAACCAGAAACCAGCCAAAGCCAAAAAACAAAGCAAAACACAGACTGAAGGAGATCTGCAACTCTGCTGGAGCACCCAGACAACAAAGGCTGAAGGAAAAGCACTGCCTTCACAGACCAGAGCCAATCAGGCCTCTGCACGGCCTTGACAGACCAGAAACTGGAACCTCCCACTCGGCTTTTCCTCTGAGCAAACCTGATTCAACCAGATCTGGCACCCCTAAAACCAATTGGCTGACTACCTTGATTAAAGCTGACTAGAGCAAAAGCTTACACACCCCTTCTGGCTTGAAGCAGACTACACAGAGGGCAACATACCACTCACACACACCACAGAACCACAAACAACCCAGCAGCAGAGCCCTAAATACAAGAAGTCACCTGATTCAGATTAGCCACTACGTCATGCACGGAGTATTGAAACCCGGGCTGCCCAGACTTGGCCCACAACCCAACCCTCACTTTCACTATTTCGCCAAGCTCTTCCATATTAGGCTGGTTTTCTTTAAAAACACACTCATTTCTTAACCTCCATACTGACCATAACATTGCAATTGGAACAAGCCTCCAAATCCTCACAACTGACTTTTTGAATTTTGTTCCCATCCACCATAACAGCACACCATCAACAGTAGCAGGGATGACCCAGGATACTCCCCACCATCGAAGCAAAAATGACCAAACCTTCCAAATTTCCGTGCATTGCAGGAACAAATGATCCACGGACTCTGGTGCCAGCTTGCAGAAAAGGCACAGATTCTCTACATTACTGCTTAAGGCCCTACACCTCTGTAAAAGACTAATGGTTTTAACCCTGCCCCTCCATGCCAACCAGCTCAAAAATTGAGCTTTTGGAGGGGCCACACCTCTCCATAACAGAATAGGAACTTGCATTTTTGGGCCTTGCGTCTCCTCAGACCATTTCCTCATTGAAGCCACAGTGAAATGACCTGAAGGAGATGCAGTCCACCTGACTGAGTCTGGCAGCTCCTCATTTATCCTGGGAGCAGCTCCTGTCAAGTCTTGCAGTCTTTGAACCTCCTCTTCCTCCCACGCAAGAAGAGATCTTGTAAACAGAAGCCTCCAATTTCCTGAGATATCCCTCCTCTGCATGAAAGAGCTCAGATTCCCTTCTTTATCCACAGATAATCTAAACAACCTTGGGAACTCTACCTTCAGTTGAACATTCGACAGCCACTTATCATGCCAAAAGTGAATCCTACATCCATTTCCTATCACAAGCTTGCAATTAGACGTAAAAAATTCGAAGCGCTCAGCATTCTCCCTTAACACACTCAGAATATCACTCCAAACAAGAGATTCTTTGCCAGTCCCTTCCATCACTGGTAACCATCTACCACCAACTCCCCCATACTTGTTCAAAATTACTTTCTTCCACAGAGATTCATCTTCCACCCCATATCTCCACCACCACTTAGTTAGCAAAAAATCATTAAAGTCCCTCACCCTTCTAATGCCTAACCCTCCTTGCTCTTTACTAAGAGTTACTAACTTCCAGTTTACCAAATGAATCTTCCTCCGGATTTCTGAACTGCCCCATAAAAATGTTGCCCTACACTTATCAATCTCCTTAGCTACCCCTTTAGGTAATTTGAAGAGAGAGAGGTAGTAACCAGGCAGACTATCAAGGACAGATTTGATCAGGGTTAGACGCCCAGCAAAAGAAAGCGTCCTTCTCTTCCATAAGGCTAATTTAGCTTTTACCTTCTCCACCACAGGTTGCCAAGTCTTCTTTCGTCTTGGGTTAGCACCTAGGGGTAACCCCAGGTACAGAAGAGGAAGCTGCTTACTTAGACAATAAAGTTTAGAGGCAAAAGCTTGAGCCAACTCTCCACTAATCCCAACTCCGCACACCACACTTCTGTGAAAATTAATTTTAAGGCCTGACATAATCTCAAAGCATCTAAGAATCCTCTTAACATTTACTATCTCCTCCCACTCAGCATCGCAAAAAAGAATAGTGTCATCGGCAAATTGGAGATGGGACAGATTCAAGTTTCCTGACCCAATAGAAGCTCCCTTAATAAAGCCCAGAGCTTTAGCCCTTTCCAACAACACATTGAGACCCTCAGCTGCAATGTTGAACAAAAAGGGGGAGAGAGGATCACCTTGCCTTAACCCCTTCTGTGGATTGAACTCTTCTGTTGGTGACCCATTAACAAGAATTGAAATTCTGGCCGTGGAGACACAAGTTTTCATCCAATCCAGCCATCTCTCCCCAAACCCAAGATTGGCCATCATAGAAAAAAAGGTAACCCCAGTTGACTGAATCATAAGCTTTTTGAAAGTCAAGTTTAAAAATGACACCCTTCTCTTTAGACTTCTTCCACTAATCCACCACCTCATTGGCAATCATAACCCCATCGAAGATATTCCTCCCCCCCAAAAAGGCAGTCTGCACTACTCCAATTACATCTGGAAGCACCCTTTTCAATCTTTTGGAGAGAACCTTAGCCAAGATTTTATACACTACGCCCACCAAACTAATTGGTCTAAAATCTGACAAACCCGAGGGACTAGAAATCTTAGGAACTAAGGTGATAAAAGAGCTATTTAATCCCGAGACCAGCTTACTGTGCTGGTAGAACTCCTGCATAAACTGGAATAAATCACTTTTCATAGTCTTTCAGCATTTCTGGATGCACATCATGTTGAAACCATCCGGCCCCGGCGCTTTATTCCCATTACAGTCTTTTACAGCCTCCCAAACTTCTTCCAAAGTGAACTCAGGATCAAGAAACTCCACCACCTTAGCACTATTGATCCTCACAAAACTACCAGACAATTTAGGACGAGATGGCCAATCTTCCGAAAATGCCTTTGAAAAGAACCTCAGCACTTCTAGTTTTACCAAAGCTGGGTCTTCAACGCGAACCCCCTCCACAACCACTGAGTCCACTAAGTTCCTATTCTGCCTTTGGCTAGCCATAATATGAAAAAACCTGGTGTTCCGATCACCATTCTGAGCCCAATTTACTCTAGACTTTTGGAACCATATCCAATCCAATTTCTTTCTATATGACCACACCAAGTTTTTTACCTCACTTCTTCTAACAACTTCATGAGGATCTAGAGTCCCCATTTCTGCCACCAGATCCAGCTCATGCAACTCAGCTTCAGCCTTTCTAAGTTGGTCCTCCACGCAACCAAACACCTCAGAGTTCCACCGTTTCAACTCGGCTTTGAGACTACACAATTTCACCTTTACTCTGAACCCAACCCACCCTTGTACCTGCGCATCCAACCAGGACTTTTGCACAACAGACAAGAAGCTAGGATGCAAGGTCCAAGCATTCAGAAACCTAAACGGCTTAGGGCCCCAGTTTTTCTCATCTTCCGTAAGCAATAGAGGATAGTGGTCGGACACCAGTCTAGGTAAGCCCCACAACTTCAAACTAAAGGTTTCTACCCACAGGGGATCCAACAAAAACCTATCAATTCTACTCCACCTATCACTGTCCACAGAATTACACCATGTAAATTTCCTACCCAACATTGGTAAATCCATCAATTCCAGCAGATCAACAAAATTATTAAAATCCTGCATCCCTTTGGAACTTCTAGTGCATCCTCTTCTTTCATCTGGAACTCTAATCTCATTATAATCACCACCCATGCACCAAGGCTTTTGGAAGGAGGATCTTACATTGAGGATAGAATCCCACAGCTTAGCTCTTTGAACCACATCATTTGGAGCGTAAATATTTAAGAAAACACACTCAAATGAACTAGACAGAGTACCTGATAGAAGCAAAAAATTTCTGTTACTGCAACACTCTGATAAGGAGAAAACTTCAGGGTTCCAAATACTCAAGAGCCCTCCAGCACTCCCATCCGAATTTGCAGCCATAAACTCCAGCTTCTCCCAAGGCCAAATAGATCGCACAAAGGGAACATCAATATCTCTGCTCTTTGTTTCTTGAAAGAGTACGACATCTACTCTTTTTTCTTTAATCAGCTGCTTCACTCTACGACGTTTTTCCAGCCTCCCCAATCCTCTAACATTCCAAGACATGATCTTCATTGGAATCAAGCTTTAACCGTGCTAACACCCCCAATTCACAGCCCATTAGGTCTGACCCTCCTGACCCCCTTCTGCAATTTTGTCAAACCGCTCTGCATCTTGTAGCTCTAGCTCAACAATCTTTTGTACCACTTCATTCTCCTTCCCTTCACAGTTCATACCCAGACGTTTGCCAAGCTGCAAAGTGGCGTGAGCTTCCTCGATAGCCAGCTTCCTTCTCCTACTCGATCGGCTGTTCTGGGACTGAGAGTGTGAGAGGATTGCAACCGCAGCCCTGAGTAACGCACCCCGCTGAAAACTACCTGAAAATGAAGCAACATTTCTGGGCACTCTTCTCCTTCCCCTTCCGCTCGAACCTCCTTCCTTGCCTTCCTAAGGACGATGGGTGTTAACTGGAACCACTGGTTCTCTGCCCACAGTAGTAGTATTGACCCTTACAGGCTCATGGGCTTGTGATAGACACCGAGTCTGCTCTCGGGACTGGGCCAATCCGTTTGGAGTTTGGGGAGCCACTTTGTTAATAAGCGGACAGCTAGGCCCATCAACAGGACCTCCTACTTGGGCCCCTTCTAATACTACCTCAATATTAATACTGGGTCTCCTCCCCTCCGACCCACTCAAACTCTTAACAAATCCTGGAGTGAGTAACGGAAACCCACCCGAGGCCACCCTGCTGTCAACAGTTACTATTCTTGGTAACTTTTTTAGCATGCTAACCTCCTCTGCAAAACAGCTGTTATCCTTTCTCTCGTTAACCTCCACCTGTTCTACTAGGCCTTCGTGCATGCCACCATCCTTCACGAAGCCACAGTCTGCAAAAGTATCATTCACCACCGAAATGGTGTTCCCCTGGTCTGACGCCACCAAAACCAAGTTCCCATGCTGCTTTTGGTCAAAGTGGTTCTCCTCCTCGATTCTGACATCTTGTTGAGGGTTAACTCCGGCAACTGAACTCTCCGCCCGGGAAGGTAAAGAGGTGTTCAGCCCCCATTTCTGGCGCATCTCATAGTCAAAATCTACACTGTAACTTCCTTCCCTCACCGAAACCTTGTAAATTCTCTTATTACACTCGACCTCTACCGATGAGCTAATTGCTTCCAAGGACCTAGTATGAACCAATACCCTGCCACAGTTCAGTGATTTTGATCCCACAAGGTTATCTTCCACTCTGATGATGTCCCCCCATAAAGATCCAATACTATGAAGTGTGCTAGTGTTCCATGCATGGAAAGGAATACCATAACAGTGCAACCAAACTAGCCTAGAAGTCACCATCGGCAAATCGTCATCCCATAATCTTATACCGTCACAGAGATCTTGAATGAGGCCTGCCACCAAACTAAACTTCTGGTGTAAAAGCTCTTCGGTTGGAAAATTTAATAGAATTAAATTCCCACCTCCAAAACGAAAATGGATTTCATGTACACTGGAATTCCAGAGCAAGCTCTGCATCTCCCCCAGTATCCACATACTCTTAATACGCACCACCATACATCTCTGTAACCAGTCACTGCCTTCGTCTGAAACTACCACTTTTAACAGCTTATCCGCCTCGTCCCCCCCTTCCTTCACTATGTCTGCATACGATTTTGTTCCTCTACATGTACTCACCCCAATGCCTTTACGAACAGGCACATTGGATGCATTTGGTTCACCGCCATCCCCTGCTACACCTTCCACTCGTAGTCGTTTCTCATGAGCTTCTCCAGACACCGATCTCTGATAATTCTTCTCATTATCATAATCTACGAACTTTACCTTCAGTTGTTTCTTGCCACACCAGACCCCATTTGCCTTCTGGATCGCCATCTTTGCTGCCACTACACACTCGTACTGAACAAACCCAAATCTTGTTCCCACTTTGCTGCGCTTAAATGATATGTAGGCATGCTTCACCACTCCAAACTTAGAGAACATAATAAACATGCCTTTAGGATCCATATCATACGGAAGGTTGTCAACAAAAATGGAAAACAGCTTCAAGCCCGGACCACTTCGTCTGGGACCGGCAGCTCTCCCTCTATAAAACACCGGTTGCCAACCCCCTTCAAATCTCTTGCCATCAGCTCTTCCAGCTTACCCCTCCATCTTGATCTTCAATGTTGTTCGTCAAGTTGCTGTTTGGTTCCAAAACAGACGAGCTAGGTGGAAGGCTAAGCAGCTCGAGCGCTTGTACGACTCTCTCAAACTCCAATTCGATTCTGTTTATATATATATATATATATATATATATGAGGAAAGAAGCAGTCTGGATCGAATTGATTTATTGCATATAGTGTAGTTCTAGTTTAAACAGTTCAACATATTTCAAATGGAACATGAATGCAAAGTTCCTATTTGGGTCAACACGACCTCAATAGCTGTTATTTGTTAGAATTGGTCTTCTACTTAATTAAAATAATGAGCTTGTCAATATTACACAAGATTTTAATTAACATATTGAAATTTGATTGTAACAAGTTAATGAATAGTTTAACCTTAAATCTACTATATAAATAAGTACCCTCTTGAATCTCCATAACAGTACAATTTCACACAAGTCCTCAAGCTTTTAGTAGCCATGGCAAAAGCTCAATCTTTCATGTTTTTCATAGTTGCTGCCATGATGATTGCCCTTCCTACAACTACATTAGGACAACTAAATCCTGATTTCTACGACAAAGTGTGCCCGCAGGCATTACACACGGTTAGAGCAGTCGTTGAGCAGGCAATCATGCACGAGCCACGCATGGGAGCGTCACTTCTCCGCTTGCATTTTCATGACTGTTTTGTCAATGTAAGTTTGATGCTTCTTCTACTAATCTCTAAACCTAAATATTCTTCTTCACCTATATCTATTGATATTCCTAAAGAAAAATTATATATTTAGGTAACAGATCAAATTACATTTAATCTCATGTCACAAATTTACTTACCATCATAAATGGCACTTGCACATTATTCATGCATAGAACATGTGACACGTTAAATGTTATGCTTTAAAAGAATAGTCATCCAAGCAAAAAGAAGAGAAGAAAAAAAAAAAAAAGAATAGTCATCATAACATTAGTCAAAAACTGGGGAGACTAAAATGAGACAAAATTCAATCAAGGCACATCCATATAAGGTTTGATGGAAAAAAAATACTTAATGTAGCATATATTATTCATTTATTTGTTGTTGTAACATCCATCATTGAACTATCAGGGCTGCGATGGATCAAATCTGCTGGACGATACAGCTAACTTCACTGGTGAGAAGACCGCTCGTCCGAACTTGAATCCACTTAGGGGGTTTGATGTTATTGATGAAATTAAAGCAGCCGTAAACTCAGCTTGCTATGGCAATGTGGTGTCCTGTGCTGATATTTTAGCCATTGCAGCTCGCGACTCCGTGAACATTGTAAGTATCCCATAAATAATAAAACCTTCCCTTACCTGAAAAAGGCCAGAGTATTTAGTCAGAGACCCTCTTTCCTCAAATCCCACTGTCTCTCAACCTTGAACATTTAGTACAAAGGTTAATTAAGTATGCATTTTGTTGCACACTTTTGTCTTCAAATTTTTTTTTTTTTTTCGATTTGGTTCTCAAACTACAGATATGAGTTTAAATGGTCCGGCCCTCACGCTATCCAAATTGATTAATGGGAGCTGGTATATTTTTGGAATTTTATATGAAGAATCTATAAAATCAAATGGACTAAATGCATAAATGGTCCCTTAATTATGCACTTTGTTGCAGTTTTGGTCCGTAATATTTTGTTTTATTATTGTAAAGTTATAAAAATATCCCAGTTCTCATTAATCGACTTGGATGGCCAGATCATTGCACTATTTAAATACATATTTTACAGTTTGAACACTAGATTGACAAAATTAAAATATTAGAAATTAAATTGCAACGAAATGCATACTTTAGAAACTAATGGTGTAATTAATCTTGTTACAACTAAACCAAACTGCTAACATAAAAATCTTGGGTTTTGTGTTTCAGTTGGGAGCTCCATGGTACCAAGTACAACTAGGTAGGAGAGACTCATTAACTGCAAGTTTGAATGATGCAAACAATGACATCCCTCCCCCATTCTTCAACCTCTCAAGCCTCCTCTCAAACTTCCAATCTCATAGTCTAGACCTCAAAGACCTCGTGGTCCTGTCTGGTGGCCACACCATTGGTCTTGCAAGGTGCACCACCTTCGTAGCCAGGATTTACAACGACACAAATATAAACCCTAATTTTGACGCCACCCTGAAAAAGATCTGCCCAGTCAATAGTGGAGGAAACAAAACATTTCCACTCGACGCAACCACAACTGTGTTTGATACTGTGTACTACCAGGACTTGTTGCAACAGAAGGGTCTGCTTCATTCTGATCAGCAACTATTTGATGGTGGTAATAGTGAGACTGATGATCTAGTGAGGTACTATAGTAATAACCCATATGCATTTGGGGAAGACTTTGGTGTTTCTATGCTTAAGATGGGTAACTTGAAGCCTCTCACTGGTAGTAATGGACAGATCAGGATGAATTGCAGGAGAGTTAATTAAGTCTGTTTGTTAGCAGGTCAGTTCATGCCACATTCTTATCAACTTGCATTTGAATACGTTGTTTTTTGTTTTTTGTTTTATGCTATGGTAATAACATTGATGTGTGAGTTTGGGCTTGGGATTCTCTATCCCAACTCTATGTACCAATCTTTTTAGTGTTGTCATGTATTCATAATTTGGATTTAACAAAGTTTATTTATTTTTTTTGAAGTATTTAGACATATTCAAGTTCATGTTACATGCCCAAAAAAAAAATTTAAAAATTCCTAAAATTTGTAGTGTGTGAATCAAATTTACTTTAAGAATGATTGAGACCACACACCGAGTTTAATCTATTATATGGTACATAACATTTGTTCAAGGTTTAATCATTATTAAAGTGGGAGTTGATTTCAAATTTAAATTATGGTGACGCAACAATAATAAAAAGGGTGACAAAGAGTTGAAAATGATTGAAAGTTGGAAATTTTTATTAAATCAATTTTACCTTTGACCTTTAAAAATGTTGACCAATTTTTTTTAAAATGTTGACCAATGTGATCCCTTTCAGCAATTTTTGGACAAAAACTGTCAATAGGAGGCAAAATGGTCTTGTCTCCTTACAAAGCTGTAAACTAAGAGAGCAAAATAATCAATTTTTCGACAATATCTGTTAATTTTTTTACAACAGGGGTCATTCAAGGAATAGTTTGTGATGTAAAATGAAAATTATCGTCGCATACTCAAAATTCAAAAATCACAAGTAAGAAAGTCAGAAATCTATACCACTCCCAGAAGAACTTTGTGGGATTTTCTTATACGCTTCCTCTTCATCACCAAAGTCGCTAGTCCAATTCAAAAAGATAATTGAAGTATAGCAATAAAATGCATGATTATTTCACCAAATATTCATCCACAGCCCTTCAAAGAGAAGCACAAATTCTCTTTGAAATTGAAATTCAGTACACAAAATAGGTTGCTCTGAAATTAAACACTAGCAAAATAAAATCATGAAATCCTATTTTTATTGGCAACAACAAATATAATTTTGTTATAGTAAAACAAGAAAGTTACAAAAGTGCAACGAGGACAAGAAATCAATGGCTGAGCTAACGAAACTGAGAGATTCAATCACCATGGAGGCGACGGAATCGGTGGGTGGTTGATCTTGCCTAAAAAGCATCGGACGGTGGAGATATGATATCGCAATTGGATTTTCTGGCCAGAATGGTGGTGCCAACCGTCCCGAGAACTTGAACTTCAGCTGAGTATTTATCGGTGGTGTTATATGCACTAATTGGTATACCAACTAATGCACCAATATACCTTATATCATTATTACTAACCTCACTCATTATACAAATTATAAATATCTAAAATTCCTAAAATAATGTTATATCATCTATTAATATACTAATTGATATATCAATTAGTACATATAATATTATTCAGTATTCATAGGTTTGGAATAAATGTTGTTAGAAGTTTTGGCCTGTAAAAGCGAATGGAGTTGAAGTTTTAAATCAATTTATTTTTTTGGTTCCTCTTTTGGTCCAGTTTAGCCCATCAACTTATAACTTTTTAATACAAATGAAGAGTAGAAAACAAATTAAAAATTCCAAGGCCTAAATTCAAATATATATTAGGACAAAATGGAATTACTTTTAAAAATGATTTAAATTAAAATAATTATTAAAATGACCTAATTCATTTAATAACTCATATACGGATTTTGAATTTAAAATATTTTATGCCTAATTTTTTGTGTAAATTACGTTTAATGTCGGTAGACAGATGATATATGCACTTTTGTCATGCAGTGCCCAATCAATGCCCTTTGTACGTTGGAAGACATTTCATGTGATGATCATTTATATCATTATGAAAATAATAAATTAATATATATATATATATATAAAGCATACAAATCACTTGGTGTAAATATTTTAAAATTTTGGGCATAGATTTGAAGCACACGAACAAGTGTGCACACCTATTTATAACGGGTAAATTATAAATGTATTTTTTTGAAATTTATTTAAAATATAAATTATTTTTGTGATTTAAAAAGTTATAAATATTTTATGGTCAGAAATTTTTATTTATCAAAATTAACTAAAAAAATAACATTCATAACCGCTATCCTGTATAATAATAAAATTATCTGAATTATTAGTTGAAATAAAATTTTAACATCATTAAATACTATTAATTAATTTGATATTTTATTAACAAAATGGGTTATTTGTTATGAAATTAAAAACCTTAGGAGCGAGATGTAATTTCCAAAACCACAAGGAGCAATTTGTATTTTAAATAAATCTCAGGGGAAATTCTATTTCCACATACCACATTGTCTCTGTACACATCCTTTCTTACTCCGCTCACTTAATAATTTAATTCTTAGGTATTTATCTCAGTCCACACACCCTACATTCCAAATATATGCATTTAATAAAAAATATGTGCACACCCTCATATTAATCCACACAAATATTCGTGGTCGTTGTGCGGCACCAGCAAGGCCTACCATGATTGATGACCCTATACCTCATTTGTTGTAAATTGACTAGTGTAGTCCAATACACAATCAAATTGAACCTCACTTGCTTGAGTGGATACTTTCTGCCCAAAAAAAATGCTCGGAAGTTGGAACTTCTGAGCCGAATATTTTAACATATTTCGGAAGTTGGAATTTGAATGATTTAATATATTTCGAAAGTTAAGTTCCAAATGGTTTAATATATTTTGGGAGTTGAGTTCCGAATTATATTTCAGAAGTTGAGTACCGAAGAAATTAATTTTGTTCCATTGTTGTTTTTCGTATACTATCTATGTATTCATCACTGGTTTGTCAAATGGTGATCGCAAACAGAAATTACGTAAAACAATTTCTTAGCAAAAAAAGTTACATTTCCGTCGCTGCATTAGTTGTTTTGCATATCATTCTAGTTTTCTGAATTGTTTGGCATATCTCCCATCAAGTTTTGTTTGACAAACAATTGTAACCTCATGAGTGAACAATGGAAGAATGTTAGTAATGGAGTCTAGTGTGTGAGAAATAATGGAGGAAGAAGGTTGGCAATAGAGTGTGTGAGAAATAATGAAGGAAAAATGTAGGCAATAAAATGTGAGAAATAGTGGAGGAAGAAGATAACAATGGATAGTGTGAAAAAGAGTTAAGTGTGTGAGAATGAGTATCAATAACATAGGCAATGGATAGTGGATGTGCACAGAGAGCTTTTGTAAGAAAAAGATGTGTGTAGAGATCTCTATTTTGAATGTTTAAGTGTGTGGATGGATGTCTATTTTGGTCATTTTAATTAAAGGTAAATTTGTAATAAAAATAAAGTTCATTTAGTGTGTGGACAGAGACAATGTGGTGTGTGGAAATAGAATTTCCCAAATCTCAAGGGTGTGTTTATAATTTACCCTTTTATAAAAGTAATTATTTACAAATCCTAAAAACTGCTCTCTCTATCTCTCTTGAAATTAAAGTCTCTTTTTCTAAACTCTAAAATTTTCTCTTGTTGTCATAATAGGGGAGTGAAAGGTGGTGACATCCGATCCCCCTCTCTCTTTCCTTTCCTTTCCTTTTAACTTTCATGGATGATTTGTTTTTTTCTCAGATATGGTCTTTTACCCTTTGATCTGAGGTTTTCTATCATTTGAACTTCCATTGCCTCCATGGGCTACAGATATGAGGTCGATACTAGAGTTGTTTGACAATCCTACGTTACGAGTTGTGTGAATATGATTTTTTGATTTTTTTTTAATGTTTTTGTATTTTATTTTTATTATTTTTTTCGTCCTTTGTAGATGTTTGGGTTTGTCTATTGTTAGATTTTTTTAATTGGCAATCTCATTAGACAAAATTTTATTTAATTGTGTTTTTATTCACTCTATTGTATCTATAAGTTATGAGAGTTCAGATGCAAATCCAACTCGAGTTGTGCTTGTATAGAGGAGTTTGTACTGACATTTAGTATCTTGACTTGAATATTTCTTATTTGTCACTTCGCTAACTAAAATCAAAGTTGATTAACCGCTCGAGTAGTATTTTGTGAACTTGAACGGTGAAGTGATTCATCTAGTATCTTTATTTGTGTTCTGAACTTCTGGAAAGTGTGTTTTACCGCTAAACGGTTATCATATATGTGAGCACCGCCTTTAGTCACACCGCTTGAGCGATAAAGTGAGCGCTCGAGCGATCTTCACAGCTCTGTTTAATATAAAGTGCGTCATTTGCTGTCTTTAAGATTTAATTCATCCATATTCTTAGAGAGGAAGAGAAAAACAAAGTGTTCTATATTGGAGGGTGTTTATGTATGAGTTTTCTTGATGTATAGAAGGTGATCAATTGATCAACGAATTACATATTGGCAAACATCAGTGGTTAATTTTGTTCTTTCATTCACAAAAAGAGAGAAGTGTTTATCGATGAATTCTTGGGAACTTGGGCCTGAAGCTTTTGTGGATTCTGAAGTGGCTTATCGTCGTAGATTCAACATTAGCATCATGGATTCAACATTGGACAAATCGATTCCAAAGTGAAGACAGTGGTGTAAGAGGCATATTGGGTTCGGATCAATTCGGGCTTAGATTCACTAGGTAATTGAGGGTTTTCGTGTGTAATTCCTTTTTGTCTTCTTAATGGATTATTTTATGTCTTTATCCCATAGTTTTTTTTATCACAATTGGAGGTACTCAAATTGTGATTTTTTTTTCTACGTTAAATCATTGTGGCGATTTATTATTGATTACTTGATTGTGATTGCTATCATTGTTTAAAATTGAATCATAATCACAAATCAATATATCGAAAAATTTTAGAATTTTCCATCTATGTTGTTGGTGACCACAGTATGTTGTATTGTAGGTATGGTTATTGGTTGTTGGCTGCAATATGTTGTAGTTATGGTTTTTAGTTAATGGTCGCAATATGTGGTTGGTTATAGTTGTTGGGTGTTTGAGTGTTTAGGTTTGAAACACTGAACCTTAGCTGTAATTCCTTCTAAAGTTGGGAATAATCACTCTTAATGTATTTATTTCTGCCTATCAATAAAATTTAACTTTAGCCACAAAAATAAATAAATAAATTTATTAACAATTCTCTCCATGAAATTTTTATAATGGTAAACACCACTGTAGTAGTTTTTGAGGTTACATCAGTGTCCTTGCTAGAAATGTTGGGTAACAGTTGGGATAAATTATGATAAATGTACAATTAACAT